GTATTATGATTACTTGCATTATGTACATTATTCGGACTATTAACCTCATCTTCATTGCCATATTCACAATGTTTCCGCCGTTGTACGCTTCGGCTTTTTTGTCATATTTCTCCTGTCTATATCTCTGTCTATATCTCTGAGATGAGGTATTATGATTACTTGCATTCAGACTGTTATCCGCATCTTCATTGCCATATTCACAACGTTTCGGCCGTTGTACGCTCCGGCCTTTATGTCATATTTCTCTTGTCTATATCTTTGTCTATATATCTGAGATGAGGTATTATGATTACTTACATTATTTACATTATTCGGACTGTTAACCTCATCTTTATTGCCATATTCACAACGTTCCCGCCGTTGTACGCTCCGGCCTTCTTCAGGTGAATGGAATTTCGAACCAAACTCTTTATTTCGCCCACCAGGGTAGATTGTTCTAGCTTCACGTGCCATGCCTCCTCCGGATGTCTCACTTATTTCCCTTTATCTCAACTCTCCATGGTTTGGTACGCCACCGCTGTGGCCTGGTATTGAACTTACAATTCTTTGGAGCTAGTCAATGGATCGAATCAACATCTTCATCCATTGGGTTTTATCCACTGAGCTGTGTCGGAATTTCCGGGAGTTATATGCCTAATGTCTCAGCAACCATTTTTTTACCAGTACCCATATTACAATTTTTGTTGTTATTATTGCAGTTTTTTATACTTATATGTGTTTTTTATACTTATATATGTGCAGTTTCCTTAAGTTCTCGTATTTTCAAGTAAAAATATGAAAAACTATGGAATCAGCATATATGCTAGGCCACAAATATCTCCTGATCTAACCAAGCATATAAAAGAAGAGAATATGAGAATCAGTAATAAGGAGTGCTAAAAAAAACAATGAATAAAAACAAAAATTGTAATATAAGCTCTGGTAAAAAAAAAAAAAAAAATTAATCAAAAATTCATACACAGATGTCCTCAAGGAGACATGTCCCAGTGAATAAAGACGTTCGTTAGATCCAGTGACTACACCAAAACAGATCTCAATACCAAGTCACAGCAGTGGTAAACCAAAACTTAAAGGGAAATAGCTGAGACATCCGAAAGAGGCATGGCACGTGGAACTAGAACAATCTACCCCGGTGAACGAAATAAAGAGTTTGGGTCAAAATTCCAAACACCTGAAGAAGGCCGGGGCGTACAACAGTCGAAATGTTGTGAATATGGCAATGAAGATGAGGGTAACAATCCGAATAATGTAAATATCACGTTTTAAATTAAAATTACAGTCTATACGTTTTTATAGTAAAGTTGCCAGCAATGCATTTTAAAATAAAATGACCAAAAGTAGATGTTCATTGCAAAAGGACAATCAATAATACTAAACTAAAAAATGTATAAAAAACACATTTTTATGGTAAACATAGAAGTAATCCATTTAAAATATAGCATCAATACATTTTTATTAAAAAAATATCTGACCATAGTTTTATCATCTAGAAAACATATCTAAATATGCATACGCCTGTCCTAAAACTATAATATCATACACAAAATATGTGTGTTTGAAAGCGTAAAATTATGTTTACAATATTTAAATTTCGGCATTAAATAACACATAAAGGTTGATATGCTTCTAAATAAAATCAACCGACCAGACTAGACCGATAGCATCAAGACATCACTGTCAAGATTTCATCTCTAACAAATCGATGATGATTGGCCGGGGGGGGGCGGTCAAACCATGATTCATGGTCAGGAAACAAACGTCCTAACCACTCGGCCTCGTTCACTAGGCTTCATGTCAATTCACAGATAATAAAGAAAATGGACTTGTGGAGAGCCGTGGCTGGCGTCGCCCTAAAGGAGAGAAGATAAAAGGAACAGTAGGGTGAAGCGTGGTCGCTTTGACTGGAATCAACAGTAATAGGTTGTCTCTGTCATTGATTCAGCGGGCGATTAAACTTGGCGACGCACAAAGCCAACAAGATTCATACGAGCAATTAGATGCACGCGAGCGGACACATGCAATTGGATGCACACAACTAGATGCACAAGAACGTCCGCACGCAAGTGGACGCAATCAGGCGTAAGCAAAATGGCGTGCGTTTATTGATACATAATTTACCGCCCTTATCTATATACGTTTACAATATAATTTTGCATAGTACATTTGATGCAACTTGACAATGGCTTTTTTTCGCTACGTTCATCCAATACAAAACCTGAGAGCCACTCAAGGTAGAGGTTAACTATATGAGGTATGTGGTATGTTGATTTTCTATAGCGTAGATGTGGTACAAGATAAAAGTGGAGCATCGAGTGAGCATCGGACTCATTAGCCAGTTGTAATTCATCTAACAAGACAAGATCGCTAACCTTTACACTTCATCTAAGTTCCAGGGGTACCCTTAGATATGGTAATTTTCTAAGCATAGATTAGATGTGGTACAAAGCCGAAAATGTGGGCCATCGAGTGAGCATCGATCTCAATACTTCAGTTGTAATTCATCTAGCAAGACAAGATCGGTAACCTTTACACTTCATCTAAATTCCAGAGGTATCCTTAGATATGGTAATTTTCTAAGCATAGATTAGATGTGGTACAAGGCCGAAAATGTGGAGCATCGAGTGAACATTGAACTAAATACTCAGTCGTAAGTGATCTAACGAGACAAGATTGCTAACTATTATATCACATCTAAGTTCCAGAAATATCCTTAGATATGGTCCTTTTCTAAGCAGATTAATTGTATTGCAAGGCTGGAGGTGTGGAGCACCAAATGGGCATTGAAATCATTACTCAGGCGTTATGATAATAATAAAATTAGACTTTTTCATGCAAACGTTTCAAAAAAATACACTCGTCAAATTATGTAGACGTACAATCTGTTGTTAACTGGGGCAAGGAATGGGTTGTTAAGTTCAACGGCTCTAAAACGAAACTACTTTCTTTCGTCGTAGAAAACCACAACCTATCAACATTTGTTCTTACCTTCATATCACGAACCTAATTCAATTATTTCCTACTTTGAATTCCTTTAAAGACTTTTATTTAGTGTATCTTATTGAATAAAATCAATTATTTTCTTTAATTTTAGTTTTTAATTTTGTTTTACTAAAATTGAGTTTGACCCATGTAGGGCGTGGCAGAGTCCAACAACTCAGCTAGTATCTATATTACTCTCAAGGGTAGTATATGAAAATCGCATTTCCGCGAATCAGTAAATATTTCTTTAAAAAGCGGTAAAATAAAAAGAAACTGGCGAACACTTTGCTTATTTCCCGCCAAATCTGGGAATGTTTTTTAACGTTCCTTTTCATGGCTCTTCTCGTTCAACCGCACTCAGCCCCACCTCGTCACTATTTTCCATTCGTTTAATATGCCAGGAATTTGGATACTGCGCCAAAAACTGTTATCTCTGTCGATGGTCACTGTGCAGTTAATACGGTGCCACGTCTGCGGGCGATTAAACCCAGGCCAATAAAAATTACCGCCAAAACAAGATGGCGCATATAGTCGCTTCTCTTTTACGAGATTTATTTCTTGTATTTTTTTTGTTTTGTCAGCGTGAGATTATTATCGTGAGAAACGAACACTGGTTTATTTGAGATTTTCGATTAACTCTGTCGTCTTTTTCTGTCAATTTATTTTATTCCTATCTTTTTTTTTATTCTAAATATTTGATTACCCGTTTGATTTCGTTCTATTTCTTATCCTTTGTTTTTGGTATCCTTTAATAGAATATTCTTTTTTCTTTGTTTTCTCATTCTTCATCTCCCCCCCCACTCTTAATGTATATTCTCTGATTTATTCGTTCGTTCAATTATCGGCTCATATATTTTTTCAGAATAATCTTTGTTCATTATAGATTCATTTTGTCAATTATTATAGAATTATTTCGTGGATACATCCTTTTATAAGTCTTCCCATTCTACTTACAGTGACCGCAGCACGCGAAGAAAAACATAAAGAAAGAAGGAGCCAATTGTTCTGCGTTCCGTTTCTCTTCAAGACGTTGGCGATGGCGACCACGGATCTCAGAAATTCCTGTTTTTTGTAGCTCTTTTTTTCTTCTTTTTTTAAGCGTTTCACCCCAAGCAAGGCGGGAAGCTACTAGGGATTACAGAAAATTTGGAGTAAGATCAGATAGGAGTGATAGAAGAAAGGATGAGGAGAAGGGTAGTGGATAGATCAAGGCAACTGGAGATGTCGATTGACATTACACTTGAATAGCTGGAGATTATAGCTCTCAGGGAAACTGGAATAGGAAAGGGAGTTCCACAGGCGAGAGGTGCGAGACATGAAGCTATTGGAGTAGAAGAGACGGCTACATTTGGGAGTTTCGACAGTGAAGGCTTGAGAGCGGGATGCCAGCCTCGTCGGGCGCTTGAACTCATAAAATCTGGGGACCAGCGATTGCAGCTCCTCGGAGCAATTGCCATGAAAGAATTTGTAAAACAGACAGAGAGAGGCGACGGCATGTCTGTGATAAAGTGTCTGTAGACGAGATGGCAGATCAGGGCCAATTTGCATATCCGAACTGGGGCCTATCAAGAACCCCGAGGCAAACAGAAGAGGCGCCAGACCATATATGGCAGCAATACTCCATGCAAGGGCGAATCTTTGATTTGTAGATCTGGAGGATAATAATAACATTTATCATACTGCCATCTCTCCTAAACTCGAAAACGCTAACCATTCGCTTAATCTTGCTAGAAAGGTGTTCAATTGCTTTCCTTTGTCCCTCTTACCTTCAATCTGTCTTGGAACATTCAAATTCTACAAGCAATCTTTCGGCCCTATAAATTTCATCTGTCTCTTCCTTGTGTTCAGTAATCATTTTGTTGGCATTTTCTCTAAAACTTTGGTGGTTGCTCACATGTTCGGTTCATGGTATAAAAATCTCGTTACTATACAATAAATAAGAAGATATAAAAAATCATATTAAATTACGTACATTTACAGTAAATGTTAATATAATCATCATAAAGCCTAAAGAACGAAATATGAAAACATCTGTGACTCTTTGTTGCCGTCTTATTCAGCGTTTTTTAAGGGCTCAATATTGGCGCTTTCCACGCCAGTTCTTTTCGCGTCGTTGTCAGCCAGCGCCACTCGTGATTCCCGCGAAATTGAAATCTAGTTTAGGAATACGCACGGTATACGTCTAGTATTCGCCCTCTCTCTCATTCTCATTCATTTGTCACTTTATATTTTGCCCCAATAAGAAAAGAGGAAAAATATTTGAAGAGATGGAACAACTTCTTTCTCTTTGCATTGAATCATCAGCGTGCTGCTATTAGTCAAGAAATCATTCAGGCGAAAACGTTGTCTTTGTTTGAGGACCTGAACAAAAAAGTACCCATTTGAGAAAGATGTAGAGTTTAAGCGAGTCAAGGCTGGTTTGTGAGATTTAAAGAACGAAGATGTTATCACTCTATTAAGAAGCAAGGTGAAAGTGCATCAGCTGACAAACAAGTAGCAACCGTTTTTCCTAAAGCATTGGCGAAGATCATCGAAGAAAACGGGTTTCTTTCTGAACAGATTTTTAACGTTGACGAAACTGGATTACATAGGGAAAAATTGCCAGACCGTTCTTTCATTGCTAACGCTAAGCATAAGGCTATATTGCTGATAAATTATTTTATTTAGAATACTGTAGGTACATATAAATACTGTGATATGCACTGGTGAGTTCTTATTTGCGGTTTATAGCCCCCCCGAGCCCTCTGCATTTAGCAAAACGGTGAAGAAGAGCGTGGCGGTTCAACAAATCTTTCATTACAGTATTTTAGAGCGATTAGATTAAGCCAATCATTCAGCCATCAACCCCACTGTCTGGGGAATTATGTACCCAGATGTAAGGCTTGATGTGGTCGCGCAATTGTTTGACAGCCATAACTGGGTGCTCATGTCTGTGTGTCATGGTGGAGCGTCCTGTTGCCCGGCATCGGGTCTTCCAGCAGCCTCCCTCTTGAACAGGTTAACACTGCCCTCTCAAAGCAAGTGATGTAGGCAACCCTATGGAGCCTGAGACCATGTGGGAAAATAAATGGTGGAGTATCGTCGTTTTTCGACCTATGTCTTGACCTCTGGAACCAATTTATGACGTAGGATAAGGTATACCTGTAGTTTTCTTTCAAATTTGAACCTTCGCTTCCATCATTCTTCGTTTCTGTGATTGAGCTTTTTCTTTTCATTAGTTTTATTCATACTTTTTTTTCTTTTTCGTTACGGTTTTGCTTTCTTCTTTTAATCGACGATTTACGACTAAATTTATTTTCTTCTTATTCCAGTCTTCGTTGCTCTTCTTTTGTTAGAGTTTATATCCGTTTTTATTTTTCGCTTTGCTTTCATTCTTAAATCTTTATAATTTCGTTATATCTTTTCGTTTTTAAGAAAATATGTTGCTCTGTTCATTTTCTAATTTTGTTGCTATAATCATTTCTTGTTTTTCTTCCACCTAAAGTTTTTCATCTTCAACACCCTCGAGTTATTTCATTCCAATGTTGACTTTGTCTTTTTTTTTTCTACTTTAATTCGCTTATTCTTTTTGGTTTCATCATTTACCGCTTCCGCTACGATCGTCTTCTTTTTATACCCTTTCTTTCTTTTTCTTTCTTTCCTTTTTCTTTCTCTTTTACCTTATCTTTCTTTGCAAGATATTTTCATCTATCTATCTATCTATCTATCTATCTATCTATCTATCTATATTAGTTTATTCGTATCTCTCTGTTTATCTGTCTGTACATTTTACTTCTATCTATTTATGAAACTCTATCAGTCTATTTATATCTATCACCCAGACTGTTTCTCTGACGCAGTTTATATCTATCTATCTATCTATCTATCTATCTATCTAGCTATCTATCTATCTATCAATTCACATCTATCTATCTATATATCTATCTTAGTCTATACATATCTCTCTATTCATCTGACTGTCCACTTTACATCTATATATTTATCAGTCTCTGTCAGTCTATTTATATCTATCTATCACACGGTCCGTCTCTCTTACACAGTTTATTCATATCTATCTATCTATCTATCTATCTATCTATCTATCTATCTATCTATCTATCTGCCAATTCACATATATCTATCTATCTATCTATCTATCTATCTATCTATCTATCTATCAATTCACATCTATCTATCTATCTATCTATCTATCTATCTTAGTCTATACATATCCCTCTATTCATCTGATTGTCCACTTTACATCTATCTATTTATTAGTAGTGTCAATCTATTTATATCTATCTATCACACGGTCCATCTCTCTTACATAGTTTATTCATATCTATCTATCTATCTATCTATCTATCTATCTATCTATCTATCTATCTATCTATCTCAGTTTGTTCATATCTATCTATCTATCTATCTGGCGGATGAACATTGCCAACATTAGTCCTTGTGTTTATGCCTCAGGTATCTTTTGATACAAACTGCTTACTTGCAAACCAGTCCACATTTGGCAACATGTGCATGCTGTCAACGTGTTAACGTGTGTTGACGTAAAAATTTAGTTCAACATGTAATTCATCAAAGTTCTTTATCCCTCCCACGTTCAATGCTTCTTCCTTCAGAACCATTAGACACCGGGATCTAAAAAGAATCAAAAGTCATATCACCGTCATTTTCATGGCATAATATTTGGTTTGAAATCGCACCGCTTGTCGTCCATTAGAGACGAAAATTTTCACTGAATAATTTAGCTGGGAGTTGTTTTTCTTTTATTATCATTTCACCCCAAGCAAGACAATGAAGCCACTAAGATACAAGAGATTACTGCATGTGAGAGTGCATGAAAAAAATATATTAATAAGGAGAGAGAACAATCAAATAATAAGAAATTAACCCTTTGAACCTCAACATGAAAGTCCATATACCACAGAGAGCAAGGCCACAAGGTGGGAGATTCATACTTATCAGGGGCTCAGAGTTTAAAGGGTGTTAGAATTTTTGGGTACCTTGTTGGTAGTGAGCCAGCCAATTTATAGTTCACCAACAGAAGGGTTAACCAATCAGAAGGCTCAAAATATTCAATGCGACGTGTATAAAGGCGTCCATGTTTTTTTTCCGAATATTCACTGCCAGCCTTTGATATCAAAGACTGAATAATTACGGAACAGCTGCTGGTGCTATTGACGATATAGTCAGATTCAGTAGAGTGTCTGACTCGTGAGTGTTAATCTTTAACGTTGTTTCATTGAACAGATTACGTACTGCGCTGTATTCTATATTCATAGACTATGGTGAATATGGTTCACAAATATGACAGAAGGTAACGATTGACATTGTATTTAAATTTTTGAAGATCAAAATTGACTGGAAAGGAAAAAAAGCTAGAAGAGAGGTCCACAAACAAGAAGTGCGATAGAAGAAACTCTTATCATAGAACTTACGGTTATATCTGGACAGTGCAACGTTAAAATAATGAGACCTTGTCAAGAAACTGATAATATGTTTAAATCCATAATGCTTAGATACCAAAGAGGAAAACTCACCAGAACAATTATATTAAAATTTTGTTATTAAAAGACGTTATGGGTGGGGGTGAGAAAATACATGTTTTGTTAAAGATATTTCTCCGCTTTTTCGCTGCTTGTTGAAGCGCTAAATCACGAACGACTGAAAAAAACATCCACATTCGCGACACGCTTCCTCCTATTTACGCTGAATGAATAAATACTTATATCTGCCACATGTATACTCTTTATCTTGGAGAGTAGAGACGAAGAGTAAGGGCGCAAGTTGGGAGATTCTTACACATCAGGGTTCAGTTTTCAAAGTCTTAATAAGACAGAAGGTAACGATTGATATTGTATTTAAATTGACTGGAAAGGAAGAAGCTAGAAGAGAAGTCCACAAGCAAGAAGTGCAATAGAAGAAACTCTCAGCATAGAACTTGCGGTTACATCTAGACAGTTCAACTGCAAACTAATGATACCTTGTCGCGAATCTAAGAAAACGTTTAAATCCATAATGCGTAGACACCAACGAAGAAACCTCATCAGAACAATTATGAAATTTTTATAAAAAAAAAAAAAAAAAGAAGAGATTTTAAGATGTGTTAGTTGAGGGGCTGATCATTCCATTTTTAAACGGAACATTTTTTATAGGAACATTTTTAATAGGCGCAATTTTAATAGGAATATTTTCCTGTCTTTCCGCTGCTTGTTGATTCGTTAATTCAGGGACCAATGAAAGAGACGTTCATATCGGCCATATGGTTTCCCTTTTTACTTCTTGCTATGCTCTGACTGACTTAAAATTCCCTAGCACCTGTGATCGTCAACTGGTCCCATCAGATATATTTCAAAAATGCTATGTATTTCCAATAATAGGTGTGATTGTTCGTAAGGGGATATTTTTTCATTTTCTATAGAACATTGGCCACTTACCGGAGGATGTCACTAATACCGTCTTCGTAATTTTGCCGAAGTCACCGGGTGCAAATTAATGCGAGCTCCGTCGGGCAATTAGTTTTGTGAGCCACATAATCAAACTAATAATGCGAATCCTGATGAAGCAGATTTCGACTGGAAATAGGACGAGAAGAGTGCGGGAACAAAAAATGTGATATTCATGATCATAATAATAATCGGAGAAATCATTCTAAGTGCAGAAAAATGTGCACTTATGTTTAAGAATAAGCAAAAGCATTTGAAAAATTTAGACAGAAAGACTTATTTTAATTGCTAGGAAAACTCGATCCACTTGGAAAGGGCGTTAGAATAATCCAGAACTTTTTCTAGTATAAGTTCTGGATTATTCTAACGTCCTGTATGCGGACGGAAAATAAACAGAGTAGCTATAAAAAATAGAAAGGGACGTGAGACAAGGATGCGTCTTCTCGCCGGACTAACTTGACCTTTACAACAACGCTGGAAATCTTACAAGGATTTATTATCGGTGGACGTAATCTTAACAATGTAAGATTCTCACATGAACTGTGGTGGTGGCCGACTCAGAAAGGAGACTACAGGACCTCTTCGACAGAGTAGTAGAAGAAAGCGAGAAAAAAGGACTAACTACTAATAAAAAGAAGACAGAAAGTATGATCATCACTAAGAGTAAAGTCAGAAGCTGCGAGTTACGAACTGAAGATATAAGCATCAGTCATGTGCAGAAGTTTAAATATTTGGTAAGCATTTTAACAAAGTTTGGAAAATACGACACTAAGATCCGAAGTACACAATAAACTAGCGAAAGAGATGCTGAGAAAAAGACAAAAAATTGTTATTAACAATGAAAAGTATGTCGAATTGCTATGTAGTATCTATAATATATATATATATATATATATATATATATATATATATATATATATATATAAGCAAATATATGGATATAGATCCGACAGTATGAAGAAAAATATATACGGAAAAAAACAAAAATCCTTATATACTATTTATACTGTTTTAATGTTAATATGTCAACGTCGGGCGTCCTGAAGATGGTTTATTAGACCGAAACGTCCGACGTTGACATATTAACATTAAAACAGTATAAATTGTATATAAGGTTTTTTTTTTTTCCGTTTTATATATATATATATATATATATATATATATATATATATATATATATATATATATATATATATATATATACTGTGTGTCCTTGTTAGGTCCAGAATTAAAAGACACACAAGAGAGAAATAGAGTTAAAAGAAACAGTAATACAAAACATATACCAAACAGAGTGTTACAGCTAGCTTTTCATCGCTCTCTCTCTCTCTCTATCTAGCTAGCTAGATATTCATCGCTCTCTCTCGCTCTCTCTCTCTATCTATCTATCTAACGCAGTCATTTCATATCTATCTATCTATCTATCTCTTTCAGTCTGTTCATTATCTATCGATCTACAGCATTCTTTTCATCGCTCTGTCTCTTTATCTATCTATCTATCTATCTATCTATCTATCTATCTATCTATCTATCTATCTAACGCAGTCTGTTCATATCTATCTATCTATCTATCTATCTATCTATCTATCTATCTTTCTTTCTTTATGAAAAATTCCAAACGTCTATACATTGTTGTATTTGTCCACAAGATGCCTCCTTTTCTGATGGCCTTCTATCAAAATATCTTCTTGTTACACATTTTCGTATACCTGCATCTCCGCCTGTCTACCATTATCATATCATCTGAAGTTATACTTGTTTTAATAAAAAAAGTATGTTTATTTCTATCTATCTATCGTCGTCTTTTCATATCTTTCTACCTATCTATTTATGTCGGAGTGTTCTTTGTCTATCTCTTTTTCTCTTTCAGAGTGTTCATTATCTATCTATCTATCTATCTATCTATCTATCTATCTATCTATCTAACAAGCGAGCTAGCTAGCTCTGTCGGTTCATTATCTATGTATTTATATAGGCATGTGCGTGTCTGTGTGTGTGTGTGTGCGTGTGTGTGTGTGAGCGCGCGTGTGTGTGCGTGTGTGTGTGTGGAACCCCGTCAGAAATTATAGAAACATTCAATGTACTTAAATAATAATATCGCTAAAACTCTAAACTGGCTCATTGTTGCGCACAAAGTCGGCTACAGATTGAATTTTGAATTTCCACATTAAAAATTTTGGAATCTATTTATTAACATATAAACTTCTGAGTTTAGTAAATCTAATTTTTAGCTTTTTTGATGCGCCTATTTTCCATAAGTATTAGTCGCGTCAAGTTAGTTTTTAATTTTTGGTAAAATTTTTTACCTGAGATATTGTTTTGCGAAAATTTCCAACACATCTCTCGTATAATTAAGTACTCAATCATTCACATATTTTATCGAGCAATTTCTTTAAATATTCTTGTGATTACTTGATAATGTAAGCATGACGTAAAAATAACAAACGCAGTTATGTCAACAAATTTATTATTAGTAGTAATAACACAACACTCACTTGCTAACTGCTGGAAAATGACACGCATTCATAAATCGACATAAATACTTGACACTCGTTAATAGGCACATTCGGCCTATTCTATAATACCAATTCAAATAATTTGGTTGTGGTTTAAAAACAAATACAGACTATTTTTGTGGGACTTTATTTTGCGATAATCTTTGGAATTCGTTTCTTTCAATCTGAAAGAAAATAATAGCTAATAATTAAATTTATTTAAATTTGTTGAACTGTGAAGATTATTTTCTTCGCTTTTCACATGCTTTTTTTCTTTACATATATAACTCAGTTTAGTCATATCTATCTATCTATCTATCTATCTATCTATTATTAGTGTTTATTATAAAGTTGTTTTTTTTTATATATATATTAGCCTCCCATTTGCGACACCGCAGCTGCACCACTTGGCTGGATATTCTGAACTTTAGGCAGGAATCTTGAAACCAACTTTTGGCGCTCAATCCTGACGCCTGAACATGTTTAAAATCCTTGATTTCTTTTGGCGAGCAGTTCTCCATTTTCTTTTTCTTTTTTATTTATTGTTATGTTCTCTTTAATTTTTTGTTCTTTCTTTTACTATTTCCTTTTTTTATTCTGTTGCTTTTTTCTTTCTTTCGTTTTCTTTCTGTCTGTCTTTCTTTTCCACGTGTTTCTTTCTTTCTTTTTTTCTTTCTTTCTTTCTTTCTTAATTCCTTTCTTCCTTCTCCACTTTCTTTTTTTTTCTTTCTGTCTACCTTTCTGTCTTTCTTTCTTTCTTTCATCTATTTGGTATTTTCTCTTATCTTTTAATCTTTCTTTCTTTCTCATACGTTTTTCTGTTTTCTTTCTTTCTATTTCATTCGATTTCTTTTATTTTCTCTTTTGTTTTTGTTTTGTTTCTTTCTTTTTCTTTTTTTTTCTTTTCTTTCGTTCGTTCTTTTTTTTCTTTCTTAATTCCTTTCTTCCTTCTTCTCTTTCTTTCTTTCTTTCTTTCATCTATTTTGTATTTTCTCTTATCTTTCATTCTTTCTTTCTTTCTTTCTTTCTTTCTTTCTTTCTTTCATCTATTTGGTATTTTATCCTATCTTTCATTCTTTCTTTCTTTCTCATACGTTTTTCTGTTTTCCTTCTTTCCATTTCATTCAATTTCTTTTATTTTATCTTTTGTTTGTTTGTGTGTTCTTTCATTCTTTCGTTCTTTCTTTCTTTCTTTCTTTCTTAATTCCTTTCTTCCTTCTTCCCTTTCTTTCTTTTTTCTTTCCTTCTACCTTTCTGTCTTTCTTTCATCTATTTGGTATTTTCTCCTATCTTTTATTCTTTCTTTCTTTCTTTCTTTCTTTCTTTCTTTCTTATTTCCTTTTTTCTTTCTTCTCTTTCTTTTTTTTTTCTTTTTTCTACCTTTCTTTTTTCTTTCTTTCTTTTTTCTTTTCTTTTGGTATTTTATCCTTGTTTCATTATTTCTTTCTTTCTTTTTCTCATTCGTTTTTCTGTTTTCTTTCTTTCCATTTCATTCGATTTCTTTTATTTTTTTTTTTTTTTGTTTGTGTTTCTTTCTTTCGTTCGTTCGTTCTTTCTTTCTTTCTTAATTCCTTTCTTCCTTCTTCCCTTTTTTTTTTTTTTCTTTCTACCTTTCTGTCTTTCTTTCATCTATTTGGTATTTTCTCTTATCTTTTATTCTTTCTTTCTTTCTTTCTATCTTTCTTTCTACCTTTCATTCTTTCTTTCTTTCTTTCTCATACGTTTTTTCTGTTTTCCTTCTTTCCATTTCATTCAATTTCTTTTATTTTCTCTTTTGTTTGTTTGTGTGTTCTTTCATTCTTTCGTTTTTTCTTTCTTAATTCCTTTCTTCCTTCTTCCGTTTCTTTCTTTTTTCTTTCCTTCTACCTTTCTGTCTTTCTTTCATCTATTTGGTATTTTCTCCTATCTTTTATTCTTTCTTTCTTTCTTTCTTTCTTAATTCCTTTCTTCCTTCTTCTCTTTCTTTCTTTTTTCTTTCTTTCTTTCTTTCTTTCTTTCTTTCTTTCTTTCTTTCTTTCATCTTTTTGGTATTTTATCCTATCTTTCATTCTTTTTTCTTTCTCATACGTTTTTTTGTTTTCTTTCTTTCCATTTCATTCGATTTCTTTTATTTTCTCTTTTGTTCGTTTGTGTGTTCTTTCTTTCTTTCTTTCTTTCTTTCTTTCGTTCTTTCTTTCTTAATTTCTTTCTCCCTTCTTCTCTTTCTTTCTTTTTTCTTTCTTTCTACCTTTCTGTCTTTCTTTCATCTATTTGATATTTTCTCCCATCTTTTATTCTTTCTTTCTTTCTTTCTTTCTACGTTTTTTCGGTTTTCTTTCTTTCCATTTCAATCAATTTCTTTTATTTTCTCTTTTGTTTGTTTGTGTGTTATTTCATTCTTTCTTTCTTTCTTTCTTTCTTTCTTTCGTTCGTTCTTTCTTTCTTTCTTTCTTTCTTTCTTTCTTAATTCCTTTCTTCCTTCTTCTCTTTCTTTCTTTTTTCTTTCTTTCTACCTTTCTTTCTACCTTTCTTTCTTTCTTTCTTTCTTTCTTTCTTTCTTTCTTTCATCTATTTGGTATTTTCTCCAAATCTTTTATTCTTTCTTTCTCATACGTTTTTCTGTTTTCTTTCTTTCCATTTCATTCGATTTCTCTTTTGTTTGTTTGTGTGTTCTTTCTTTCTTTCTTTCTTTCTTTCTTTCTTTCTTTCTTTCTTTCTTTCTTTCTATTTACACTTAATCTTCCTCTTATTTCTTACGTTTTTTTAAAATATTTGTTACTTTCTTCATCATTTTCTTTTTCTCCACCCTTCTCCACATTCTCCTTACTCTTCCTCTCTGTTCTTTCATCTTCTTTTCGTCTATTAGGACTCGTAATATTTCGCATCTCCTTTCGCCATCTTCTACATTATTTTCTCTTACATTCTCATCACACTTCTAGATATTTCTAGAACAATTCCATTTTTTTTCTACATTTCCTTTTTATTAGCGTTTCATTGTTCTTCTGTTCAAAATTTTACTACCATTTCATTTTTTTTATATCGTTCGAGACGATGTCAGAGACGAAGCAAGCCTTTGTACTTTATATTCTCTGTTTGCACTGAGTGAATGTATCGTTCTTCGAACAACTTTTATAAAAATTTAACGGGGGAATATATATTTACAAAATAATAAAAAAAAACAAATCCATAAAAATAAAAGGTCTTATTAGGATTTTTTTTTCTGATACTTACAAAAAAAAGAATGATGTTTGCTTGAGAGTTTATCGGTTTACGATCTGAGCTGTAAAATAAATACTGCCGAAATTGAATTTGTGAACTACAGAGGCATCAAGTCTCGACATTAGTGGTTTTTCTCAGGTTATCAACTGTCACGAACTGGAAAATAAGTTTAATACATTCCAGGCTGACTTCAAGTCATAAAACCTGAACTCAGACAGACAATGATAGCTTCTTTTTTTTTCTTTTAAAAACAAAATATTTATTTAAAATTATATCCACGAGTTCTCGTTTCAGTAATATTAATCATTTCCTGATTTCTTCGTTTATCTTATGGTAATGAACATTATGGGATGTTCGGAAATGCATATTACATATTACTGTTGCCTCCAATCTTGAGGACACATATTCAGCTTTCCGAAGGCACATTTGAAAAGACAAAGATGCGTTGCAAAAGCTAATCAAAGTGTTAAGAAACACAAATATGTCGTTAGAAGCGAAGAAAATAGTATTGAATTTTTACGTAATATATATGGAAGTGAAGGTTTCACAATCTGCTCAAAGATGAAGAAGATACCCGAAGAGTACTGGGGATACATCAAATCGAGCAACCACGAAATTTTAGAGAAACATCAAGAAGAGGCGGTTAAAATTTCTATACCACATGATGAGGAAAGAGGACTTGAAAAATATGATATTCCCAAACCAGACTGACAGCAAGAGAGTCAGAAGAAAAATAACACAGAAACTACGTAGTGAGCTTGAATGGAGGAACAAGGTTGAGGAGAAAAAAAAAAGAAAAATTTATTAAGGAGAGGAACTTGTAGAAATTCATGCTCGCTTAGGTCCTGAAGCGACACACCATATAGAATATATCCGTTGTACAAAACTGTTGTGATGTCTTCCCTCTAAAGATTTTATCTTGGACTCTTCCGCCTACTATAAAATTAGTAGGAGAGAAGGTCTTGTGGGATCAGTTGAATAGATTGTTCAATTGTCGAACTCTCTGACTTAAGCAGAGAGGAACCCGGACGAGGCTTTACCGAACGGCTAAGTTTCGTCCGGGAAGGTAGACAGTCCCTGAACCCATTTATACGGGTTCAAAAGGAATATATTTGGCCGAGTCTACGGACTCGGAAAACCTACGGTAAACTCGGGCTTGTTCCACATATATCCCTCATGGGAGGGCGGCTGTTAAATATTAAGTGTCGACCAGATTGTTCGTAATTGTCGAACTCTCTGCCTAAGCAGAGAAGAACCCGGACGAGGCTTTGCCGAAGGACAAAGCTTCGTCCGGGGACGTAGACAATCCCTGAAAACATTTAAGGAATTTCTAAGGGAATATTTTTGGCCTAGCCTACGGGCTCGGAGAACCCACGTAAGACTCTGCCTTGTGACACATACATCCGTCGTTGGGGGCTGTTAAATATAACAGTCGCATAGATTGTTCATTATTATCGAACTTTCTTCTTTGAGCTGAGATGAACCCGGACGAAGCATTACCGAAGGTCAAAGTTTCGTCCGGGGAGGTAGACAGATCCTGAACATATTTATACGGGTTCTAAGGGAATATTTTTGGCCCAGTCTACGGGCTCGGAGACCCCCGGATAAACTCAGCCTTGTGCCACATACTTCCCTCGTGGGGCGCGGGGGATTCTGATCAATATAAAAGTCGCATAGAATTTTCAATATTGTCGAACTCTCTGCCTTGAGCAGAATGGAACTCGGACGAGGCTTTACCGAAGGGCAAAGTTTCGTCCGAGAAGGTAGACAGACCCGGACTCGTTTATGCGGGCTCTACAGTAAACTCGTCCTTGTGCTACATACATCCCTCGTAAGGGGTGTTAAACATTAAGCGTCGAAAAATTGAACGCTGGTGAATCGACGCGCACTCTCTAGTCGTGTAATACTCTTCTGATGTACTTACTCTTTAATATATGTTATATCCGCAACCCTGGCTTTTGTTATTTCTTAAACATTCAAAGATGAGATAACTACATCAGACAGGAAGACCGCTCATCAAGAGATGTTCAGCAGCGTGAAATCACCTCTTAATTGCTGGTGTTCTCAGGCCCACCCTGACCCAGTATGTTAGCACAGGGTCCCGGCTATAGACAAATAGTTAACCCACCACAAAGTGGCTCAAAAAGCTATGATAGTATAAAAATAGGTTTTAACACAGCAATATTTTTTGGTAAAACAATTACCAGCAGTATTTTTCTGAAACAATATTATC